CCAATGAGCAGTCGGGCTTTATTTCCTGAAGTATGGACTTGTTGGATCTTCTCGCGGTCCAAGGCACTCTCACCACAGTTCAAAAGCATCTATCTTCCTTCGCTCATTCTTCCCTATGGTCCAGCTCTCACATCCATAGGTGACTGTGCTGGCACAGCTGTGCCAGGGGTTTGAATTCCCTTTTTCTTTCTTTGCTTGTTTGCATGAATTCCTGTAGGCTATGCATTTTGCAATTTGGTAGCTTCCTACAGGGTGCAATTATAGGGCCAGCAACCTGTCAATCATCGTTGCAGTCTTTAGATCCACCCCTTTCCCCAGATTTTTGAGGGAAAAGGAAGACTTTAGGCAGTTTACAGTTGGAAGCCTTTCAGACAGGACGTGTGGGGTTTCTCTTCCCCACCTGGAAAAGGCTTTAGTTCTCACAGCAATCCGCTGGGGAAATATAGCTACAGCCAGCCTTCGCTGGAAAAAGGGAATACAGCCAGCTTTGCTGGATAATAAAGGACTTCCTTCAACTTGGAAATCTACAAAGACTTTGCCTGGTAAGGTCTACTCGGGTCACCCATAACGCAGATTGGAACCGGGAGTAGGGCCCACGCCAGCAAAATAAAGAGATTGCCCAGGGAGGGGTCAGAGGATTTCCCTTAAAGAAGAAAGAATCAGTCACCTCACTACCTCTGAGGATGCTTGCCATAGATGCAGGCGAAACGTCAGGAGAAAATGCCTCTAGAACATGGCCATATAGCCCGGAAAACCTACAACCCAAGAAACAGTTTGTTAAGCAGTTGCCTGTCCCTTGTTGGCAGATTGAAGAAGTTACCAATTTCCAAAGTTATAGAGTGTTTAATCTGTGTTTGAAGATTTTATCCCTAATAAAACTTTGTTGGACTTATCAAGGGACTCAACAGAACTTTGTGTAGGGAAATCTGAAAGGCCTCTCAGCCGAGGCACCCCGGCATCCCGTTGGGCATTCAGATAGCACGTCCTGCTAACAGACATCCTCACAGGCCCAATGCATGACAGCACAGTGACTATGGGGAATACTTTATTTATATACTGCCCTATCTCCACGAAGGGACTCAGGGCGGATGTATTTAGTAGATCTGTGTAAAAATCGTCTGTATGTCAACACCAAATTATGTTTGGTTGGCTTTCCATTTTCCTGATTATTCTTACCTCATAGGCTGAAGTAGGAGCCTGAGATGTCAGTAAGCAGGCCTCCATTTTGAGAGGGGAAGCGAGGGAGGCAGACATCTTGGGAGTGTAAGAGTAGAAGAGGGGAGGAGCTGGAGCTCTCTCTGGATTGGTTAAGGCAGATGGGAGGAGTTTAGCCCTGAGGGAGAAAAACTGCCAGCTTGTGAGAAAGGAGAGATTGATTTTTGGTTTTGAAGGAAGAGGGTGATTTTTGGGAACAGAGTAGAGAGGCGAGTTTTTGGTGAGCAAAGATTTTTTACAGTCAGAGGGCATTTGGGACAGGCGATTCTACATTTATTTGGCCAGGAGGGTCAAAGTAGACGCCTGGGTACTTCTGTCAGATTTGTTACACAAGTGGTTTGCTCTCTGGGGTCAGAGTAGTTTAGTTGTTAGAGAACTCTGTTCAGAGTGTAGCTATATGTTCTGGGGACAACTACGTTAGATTTGTCTGGGGAACTCACTGCTACTGTGTCAGAGTAGAGTGAGGAGTCTTGCTCATATCTAAGTTAGGAAACCTATTTAAGTACCTTTAAGAATCTTGTGCCTCTGTAACCATTCAAGCTTGTGTGCCTCATTTAAGAAGATAGTTGTTTGTTCAAATATATTAATAAACATTTCTCTAGTTCAATCTTTAAACAGCCTCAGTAGTGATTCATTCTGTGAGAATAATTCCAGTTGTCTTTAACATCTTTACAACTTAGTCATTTCAGGGAGCCAAAGGGAGAGCTGGTGGGCAGGAAGGGATTTAACTCAGGGACAACATCTGTAGTATTCCCAAATTACTTTGGGTGGTGGCAGCAACTCTATCGGAGTATACACGTTACCTCAACAATCATCTAAACCAGAGGTTCTCAACGTTCCTAATGCCGCGACCCCTTAGTACAGGTTCTCACATTGTGGTGACCCCCAGCCATAACGCTATTTTCGTTGCTCCTGTTATGAATCGTAATATAAATATCTGATATGCAGGATGTATTTTCATTCACTGGACCCAATTTGGCACAAATACCCGATACGCCCAAATTTGAATACTGGTGGGGTTGGAGGGGATTGATTTTGTCATTTGGGAATGTTGGAGTTGCTGGACTTTATAGTTCACCTAAAATCAAAGAGCCTTTTGAACTCCACCAATGATGGAATTGAATCAAACTTGGCACACAGAATTCCCATGGCCAAGAGAAATGCTGAGAGAGTCTGGTGGACACTGGCCTTGAATTTTTGGAGTTGTAGTTCACCTACATCCATAGAATACTGTGGAATCAAACAGTGATGGATCTGGATCAAACTTGGCACAGATAATCAATATGCCCAAATGTGAACACTGGTAGAGTTTGGAGAAAAT